GAATGTGACACTGGTCTCATTTCTTTCGATGGAAGGGAATTGGCTGTTTGACCACTTTTGAACGATATCAGATCAGCGATATTTCTGGAACTCAAGTTGAACTTCTTTGTCAAATACCCCTGGGTTTACTTTGCAAATTGCATTGACTTTGCATTGACATGAATGGATTACTATCACCTTATCTTTACTTTTATTGTATACAATCAAGGAAGGATTAACTATTCACAGAAGGTATTTGAGTAAATTACAAAAAAATGAATTCTCAAAAACTCAAAACATTTGCTTAAATTGATGCGATCACAGAAACGAACCAAGTTCAATGCTGTCAAACTATTTAATGTTTCAGTTGTGTACGTACATCACTTTCCCACACGACAAATTTCATTCTTTCATATTTGGGATAACACTTTCTTCGTAAGTACACATTCCAGCACTGCCTGGGGTCCTGGATCGGACTCAACTCCAAGCACGTGCTAGAATCTGAACTTTACTAAGAAAGTGTTTTCCTAGATATAACATTTGTTGCATTTAACCACCTTCTAAAGTGGCATTGTGTGTTCGTCATCATCATGTTTACAGTTACATCAATATCTTCAAAGATTTAGGACAATTGAAATGAACAGAATCTGTACTTTACTAAGAAAGTGTTTTCCTAGATATAACATTTGTTGCATTTAACCACCTTCTAAAATGGCATTGTGTGTTCGTGATCATCATGCTTACAGTTACATCAATATCTTCAAAGATTTAGGACAATTGAAATGAACAGAATCTGTACTTTACTAAGAAAGTGTTTTCCTAGATATAACATTTGTTGCATTTAACCACCTTCTAAAATGGCATTGTGTGTTCGTGATCATCATGTTTACGGTTACATCAATATCTTCAAAGATTTAGGACAATTGAAATGAATAGAATCTGTACTTTACTAAGAAAGTGTTTTCCTAGATATAACATTTGTTGCATTTAACCACCTTCTAAAATGGCATTGTGTGTTCGTGATCATCATGTTTACAGTTACATCAATATCTTCAAAGATTTAGGACAATTGAAATGAACAGAATCTGAACTTTACTAAGAAAGTGTTTTCCTAGATATAACATTTGTTGCATTTAACCATCTTCTAAAATGGCATTGTGTGTTCGTGATCATCATGCTTACAGTTACATCAATATCTTCAAAGATTTAGGACAATTGAAATGAACAGAATCTGTACTTTACTAAGAAAGTGTTTTCCTAGATATAACATTTGTTGCATTTAACCACCTTCTAAAATGGCATTGTGTGTTCGTGATCATCATGTTTACAGTTACATCAATATCTTCAAAGATTTAGGACAATTGAAATGAATAGAATCTGTACTTTACTAAGAAAGTGTTTTCCTAGATATAACATTTGTTGCATTTAACCACCTTCTAAAATGGCATTGTGTGTTCGTGATCATCATGTTTACAGTTACATCAATATCTTCAAAGATTTAGGACAATTGAAATGAACAGAATCTGAACTTTACTAAGAAAGTGTTTTCCTAGATATAACATTTGTTGCATTTAACCACCTTCTAAAATGGCATTGTGTGTTCGTGATCATCATGCTTACAGTTACATCAATATCTTCAAAGATTTAGGACAATTGAAATGAACAGAATCTGTACTTTACTAAAAAAGTGTTTTCCTAGATATAACATTTGTTGCATTTAACCACCTTCTAAAATGGCATTGTGTGTTCGTGATCATCATGTTTACAGTTAGAAGAATCTTCAAAGATTTAGGACAATTGAAATGAACGTAAATGTCCTCTGGCTGAAACAACACTATGTGAAATGCAGGACTTCCTCATATAAAAAAACGTCCATGTGAACTTTGGGGTCAGAACACTAAGCAAACACATAGGCATCCCCAATGGGCACTAACTGTGCCCTTCCTTTCTGAATCGTTTCTTTGTGCACGTCAATCGGAATTTCTGCTCAGTTTGGCCAAATGGATTGGCCAAGATGTTCAATTTAAGCTTCAGGTTTATCACATATATGGCAGGAATTGAAACTGCAGCACATCTACTGTGTAAGCCAACAGTGGGCACCAGTAAAAAAGAGTAAGCAAGTTTAAAAAAAAAATAGTTTTACCTCAAATCGCACTATTATGACGCCATACATCTCATTGTTTGTTTCTTTGTTGTTTTTACGCCGCACTGAGCAATATTCCAGTTATATGACGGCGGTCAGCAAGTAATGGAGTCTGGACCAGACAATCCAATGATTGACATCATGAGCATCGATCTACGCAACTGGGATACGATGACATGTATCGATTAAGTCAGCGAGCCTGTCACCCGATCCCATTGAGACGCAAAGGATACATGTATAATGTCAGAATAATGTCGCATTTCAATTTCTATGTTGTCTCTAAACCTTGCAATGTACTCTCGTAGTTGCTGTTTATCGTGCTTTCTGAGCAACAATATTGCCACACATACTGTAAATATTGTAGCGCCGTTACTCTGCATTTTGTAAATGCCCCCCGACATTGATTGAAAAAGAATTACTTATTTTAATATTAGCCTCCGCAGTCATACGGTCGTCAAACCAGCTGTTTCAATCAGCAGATGTTATTGTGCTTTTATACCTCTGCTTGATCAAAAATCGACTTATTGTATTATGTAAAAGTACATGGTAGAATTAAAACATATGACCAGGTCACTGTGACACTATGATAACTGCATTGTTCTTCAGCAACCCATGTTTGCCGTAAAAGGTGACTATGCTTGTCGTAAAAGGCGACTAACGGGATCGGGTGGTCAGGCTCGCTGACTTGGTTGATGCATGTCATCAATCCAAATTGCGTGGATCGATGCTCATGATATTAATCACTGGATTGTCTGGTCCAGACTCGATTATCTACAGACCGCCGTCATATAGCTGGAATATTGCTGAGTGCGGCGTTAAACAATAAACCAACCAACCAACCAACCAATCTCCTTCATGCTGCTCGACCGCTATTAATGTTGTAAATACTAGTATATAACGTCAACGCCAGAGAATAATAATTGAATAGTCTCGATTATCTGGGGCGGTCGGGTAGCCCAGTGGTTAAAGCGTTCGCTCGTCACGCCGGAGACCCGGGTTCGATTCCCGACATGGGTACATTGTGTGAAGCCCATTTCTGGTGTCCCCCGCCGTGATATTGCTGGAATATTGCTAAAAGCGGCGTAAAACCATACTCACTCACTCACTCACTCACTCTCGATTATCTGCCGAAACAGAGTGCAAAATTGCAAATTAGTGATAAAAATTATATGAATTATTATTATGGATCATTGACAACCAGTGATGACACCAGGTGTTCGCGAAAAGGGCAAGCATGCCCTGCTATAACGGTGGCACCTGCCACTCACAAACTTTGAATAAAAAGTAAGTCCGTTTTGCCTAAAGCCTCGTTTGCGTATCGCTGTAATAGATGATTTTAGTTCTGAACAAACTTAATTCTCATTTTAGCCAAACAACGAATAATTTGCAATAATCATTCATACCTAAAGACCCGTCAAGATTCGGATTAGAATTGATCTTCAGCAAACCCACCCTTGTGGTAAGAGGCGACTAACGGGATCAGGTGGTCAGGATCGGTGACTCGGTTGATAAATGTCATCGTATCTCAGTTGCGTAGATAATGCTCATCATGTCAATCACTTGATTGTTTGGCCCAGATTGATTATTTACAGACCGCCATCATATATCTGGAATATTGCTGGGTACGGCGTTAAACAAGAAACAAACAAATAAACAAACCCTTAAGAAAAGTATATTCGCCAGTCGCGATGTCGCCTTGCATGTTAGAGTATATTTTAGGAAAGCCTCCAGGATCAGGTGATCTCTGATCCTGTTCTTATGTGTGCCAGCATACATTCATTCAAGCCGAGTGATGGAGTTAATAAAATCGCTTTGAGGAACGGGGCCAAGGTCTGCACGGTCCATATTGAAATGAATGACGTCATTGTCTGGGTGAGGTGAGGTGAACCGTCGCGTCCAAGATTATTGCACTTATATAGCGACGTTTGTGTGTGGCTGCTTGTACTAGTCCAGACTGATGCCGATTTATAGTGCTAGCTCTTCGAGATACCATGCCGCAGTTTAACATGAATACCCCACTCAGACACAGTAAACTGACTCCGAGCCGACTAGTCCTTGTTTTAGCCCATTAATGCCGAGCGCCAGACAGGGTAACATCAAGTACCATCTTTTAACGTCTTTTGGTGTGACGCGGGATCGAAACCCAGACCTTCCGCTCTCCGGGCGGACGCTCTACCACAAGACCACGGAGGCGGTCAATTTTCTGGGACAGTATTTTGGTGCTTGTCACTGTGTAGCATTCTCGCCCAGTAGAATTCTCAACACACACGTATTTTGTTCGCCGTGATGTTGAAGCAATATTGTAAAATTGGCGTTATACAACATCTAGACTTCATTGCCTCAGTGAATACGTCTTCTGATAAACTGTTATTTCGACAAGTTGGTGGTATATATAAGGCAAAAAAATGTCATAGTCTTGGTTCTCAGGCACCGCCCGCGTCATCATAAAGTCTGCAGCACGTTTTGTTTTTATTCCATTTTCAAAAAAACTATAAAAATCCTAATACTTAAACACAATGCACACAAAACATTGACAATGGAAACAAAAACGAAACGTGCAAGGAACTTTATGATGATGTGGACAGTACCTGAGAACCAAGACTATTATTGTTTTAGCCTAAAGTAGCGCTACGAATACCAAACGAAACGAAATACATAAACACTGTGTCCTTTACATTTGTAATATGTTGGTTAAATGCATGCGCCATGAATGTGTAACCTGCCATTTCTATTCACATTATTGTCTCATCAATAGATTTAAACATGAAAGTCAACTCGCCCAAAAGCGACCTCAGTTTGATATTTCCGTTACACATGCGTTCGTGATCGCATTTGTCTTTCTTGATTCAACTGTTTAATACACGGAGCATACACCTACCTGTATGTTTGTCAGCAGAGCAAGGTTCTCCGGTACATCTTTATGGATAGCCACGACCAAGTCTTTATAACCGTTGTCCTGGATCTTCAGCAGAAGGCAACCTTGTATGAGCACGGCGCCTAGCAGCGCTGTCCAAACCTTCATGGCGATGACTGCACGTCGACTGAGCGACTGGGAACGGACAATGGTTTATGAGGGACGTAACAAGGAAGCGATATTGTTCAAAATAGTCACGTGGTGTTACACTCAACTGGCTATGATCATGTTGTCATGACAAAATGAGTTTACCCCCGGTATAAATATAAGTGTGGTTTTATTACATATCACTGTTTTTAAAAGCATATACGTCGTACCTCGGACCATGTTTCTGAGGACCAAGATAATTATCGACCACTGCTTCCCGCGTTTATCCACAGGCTGGGATGTCTGTCATTAAGGTGTTAACTGATACACGGTAGTGTCCGATTTGCCCGAGTACTGACAGCTTTGTCCTACACATTGACACCATGACTGATCCTTGAGGCCTAAGTGGAAGTAGTGAGTGAGTATGGTTTTACGCCGCTTTTAGCAATATTCCAGCAATATCACGGCGGGGGACACCAGAAATGGGCTTCACACAATGTACCCATGTCGGGAATCGAACCCAGGTCTTCGGCGTGACGAGCGAACGCTTTAACCACTAGGCTACCCGACCGCCCCTGTTATCATACATGTAGTATACAATTAGTAGTTGGTATCGGAATTCACATTGCGACTATTATCTTCATATATACACAAACTATTATTTTATTAATGTATGCATTAGTTTCAGGTGCGGACAACGAAAGCTTCTTCTGTATATATATATGTGAAAATCTTGTTTCTGCGAAACAAACCATGTGAGTTTTTCGTAATTGAACATTTAGATCCTCGTCCTTTAGCCTTATCAAATATCACAGAATGATTTAACTATTGACACGGCATGATGTAGTATTATCATTGTGCTGCAGAATAACCCCCTCGTGGTGGCCGCACTGTGCCCCGACGTCATGGGTCGTTGTTCATGCTGTCAACCACCGGTTGGTCTGACCCACACACAAACCTTCACCCAGACTCGATCACCTTTTCATGATGTTAGTCCCAGATGTAAACAGACATGTCTCAAAACTGTACTCCCAGATGTAAACAGACATGTCTCACAACTGTAGTCCCAGATGTAAACAGACATGTCTCACAACTGTAGTCCCAGATGTAAACAGACATGTCTCACAACTGTACTCCCAGATGTAAACAGACATGTCTCACAACTGTTGTCCCAGATGTAAACAGACATGTCTCACAACTGTAGTCCCAGATGTAAACAGACATGTCTCACAACTGTAGTCCCAGATGTAAACAGACATGTCTCACAACTGTACTCCCAGATGTAAACAGACATGTCTCACAACTGTTGTCCCAGATGTAAACAGACATGTCTCACAACTGTAGTCCCAGATGTAAACAGACATGTCTCACAACTGTACTCCCAGATGTAAACAGACATGTCTCACAACTGTAGTCCCAGATGTAAACAGACATGTCTCACAACTGTAGTCCCAGATGTAAACAGACATGTCTCACAACTGTAGTCCCAGATGTAAACAGACATGTCTCACAACTGTACACCCAGATGTAAACAGACATGTCTCACAACTGTACACCCAGATGTAAACAGACATGTCTCACAACTGTACACCCAGATGTAAACAGACATGTCTCACAACTGTAGTCCCAGATGTAAACAGACATGTCTCACAACTGTACACCCAGATGTAAACAGACATGTCTCACAACTGTACACCCAGATGTAAACAGACATGTCTCACAACTGTACACCCAGATGTAAACAGACATGTCTCACAATTGTACTCCCAGATGTAAACAGACATGTCTCACAACTGTACACCCAGATGTAAACAGACATGTCTCACAACTGTACACCCAGATGTAAACAGACATGTATCACAATTGTACTCCCAGATGTAAACAGACATGTCTCACAACTGTACACCCAGATGTAAACAGACATGTCTCACAACTGTACTCCCAGATGTAAACAGACATGTCTCACAACTGTACTCCCAGATGTAAACAGACATGTCTCACAACTGTAGTCCCAGATGTAAACAGACATGTCTCACAACTGTACTCCCAGATGTAAACAGACATGTCTCACAACTGTACTCCCAGATGTAAACAGACGTGTCTCACAACTGTACACCCAGATGTAAACAGACATGTCTCACAACTGTACACCCAGATGTAAACAGACATGTCTCACAACTGTACTCCCAGATGTAAACAGACATGTCTCACAACTGTACTCCCAGATGTAAACAGACATGTCTCACAACTGTACACCCAGATGTAAACAGACATGTCTCACAACTGTACTCCAAGATGTAAACAGACATGTCTCACAAATGTACTCCCAGATGTAAACAGACATGCCTCACAACTGTAGTCCCAGATGTAAACAGACATGTCTGAACACACAGTTGTGAGACATGTCTGTTTACATCTGGGAGTACAGTTTTGAGACATGTCTGTTTACATCTGGGACTACAGTTGTGAGACATGTCTGTAGTCCCAGATGTAAACAGACATGTCTCACAACTGTACTCCCAGATGTAAACAGACATGTCTCACAACTGTGCTCTAAGATGTAAACAGACATGTCTCACAACTGTAAGCGACCCGTGAAGATCCGGGGTAGAATAGGTCTTCAGCAATCCATGCTTGCTGTACAAGGCAACTATGCTTGTCGTAAGAGGCGATTAACGGGATCGGGTGGGCGGGATCGGGTGGTCAGGCTCGCTGACTTGGTTGATGCATGTCATCGTATCCCAATGGCGATTGCGTGGATCGATGCTCATGATGTCAGTCACTGGAGTGAGTGAGTGAGTTATGGTTTATAGTCACATCGGCAATATTTCAGCCATATCGCAGTCACTGGATTGTATGGTCCAGACTCGATTATTTAGAGACCGCCGTCATGTAGCTGTTATATTGCTGAATGCGGCGTTAACCAACAAACAAACAAACACAACTGTAAGCATTGGTGGGGAAGGGCTATAAAACTATTGTTAGTCAATAATGACATCACAATGATACCACGACCAGCATGTTATTCATTTTAACTGTCAAATTGATCAAAGTATTATATGTTGCACTACTCTGACTAATTTACATGTCATAAGTGTCAAACCCCTTGACAACTGCTGTTAACTTCCGTGTTGTGTCGGTATATGAGTGGTTACAAGAGGTTAATAAAAGCTCGAATCTTGAAGCTGTAATGTTCTTCCCTATAGCTATGGGTGTTCCGGGTCAAAACACGTTTCAGTGCCGTATTGCGTCACATAAGAGCCGATCAGGCGATCAGGCTCTGTAGACTGACTGATCGTGTAGCATCGTACCCGATGGTGTGGTGCGTTCATAGTGATGATATCGCCATTAATTCATGGCCGAGATTCACTTATTCACAGACCGCAGCGAAATACGTTGAATACTGCAGGCTAAAAACATAATTGGCAAATAGAAATGAAATTCTTGCATTGCAGTAGTCCAAAACTTCAAGTGTATCTTAAAAATCCATATGATTACTATTATCATTCTTTCACACACAAACACACACATCCCCGTGAGGATCCGGGGTAGAATAGGTCTTCAGCAAGCCATGCGTGCCGTAAAAGGCGACTATGCTTGTCGTAAGAGGCGACTAACGAGATCGGGTTGTCAGGCTCGCTGACTTGGTTAATGCATGTATCCCGATTTGATCGATGCTCATGATATCAATCACTGGATTGTCTGGTCAAGACTCGATTATTTACAGACCGCCGTCATATACATGTAGCCTGAATATTGCAGAGTTAAACAACAAACAAAACAAAAAACCACAAACGTGTGAATGAACTCAACGCAGCTTTGAACAGTGTTTCAGTTTATATGATGGCGTGTCATATTGAAGCTTGAAGTGGGAGGAAAGTTTAAAATGATCTTTGGTCTCAGACTTTACCATTTTGGTGAAACCCTCGATCGCAAGTAAGGGTATGGTACTGACAATCTGTTTGTTGTTGTTGGTTTGTTTTTTTACGCCGCACCCAGCAATATTCCAGCTATCTGACGGCGGTCTGTAAATAATCGAGTCTGGACCAGATAATCCGGTGATTAATATCATGAGCATCGATCCACGCAATGGGGATCGATGACATGCATCAACCAAGTCAGCGAGCCTGACCACCCGATCCCGTTAGTCGCCTTTTACGACAAGCATAGTCACCTTTGACGGCAAGCATGGGTTGCGAGGACCTATTCTACCCCGGAATCTTCAGGAGGCGAATATGGTGTTCGAACCCACGACAGTGAATGGGAACCCGATGGGATTAGATGGTAATGCGACTGTTAACCTTCTAGCGCTTCATAGGCAGCTGATGCGATGTACGTGTAGTGTTTTTTTTTATGATAGACAATCGACTGTGTGCAAGTATTATTACAAGTGTTGGAGCTGTCACCACAACCGAACATGTAGATATATATTATATACGCAAACATGTTTTGATTGAAAATGTATCTTAGTAGTACATGTATATGTTAACCAGAAACATGAATGTTACCCTGATGAAATGAGCGCTTTCTGGCGTATTTATGTACGTTTCTATCACACTTGTACGCTTCATGGAATAATGATGTAGATAGGGACAAGTTGACTACAAGGTGGGCTGAAAGGGTCAGTGTCAGCGGTTCTGTAGCAGGGGTATTGTAAAGGCGATTGTGTCGATTAATGTTTAAAGCACTGGCCCATTAAATAGTTAACATATAACGTCGCATCGGCAATATCTCAGCCACATGTGAATCATGGGTACAAACTTTAAGAGTGAAGCCCGTTCCTGATGTTCCCCTACGTGGATGGGATATTGTCAACACCCCACTACCTTACCCACTCACACATACATTGAAGATCCGGGGTAGAATAGGTCTTCAGCAACCCATGTTTGCCACAAAAGGCGAATTACGGGATCGGGTGGATAGGCTCAATAACTTAATTGATGTACATGTATGTCATCGATCCCGATTGCGTGGATCGATGCTCATGATGTCAGTCACTGGATTGTTTGGTGCAGACTCGATTATTTACAGACCGCCGTCACATACCTGG